CTTTATTTTACCCTTTCTATAGACCAAACCTTTGAGTTTTGGGCTAGAAAGAGAGAATTAGTTATCAATGGCAGGAAGGCATGGACAGGATCTGCAGTACTTAACTGTTCCTTATAGTTTTACATTCTTATTTCAGTCAACTTCATTAACTTCATGTCCACAGCTGCTTAGGTGCTTCCATTCCCCCAGCATTCAGCACATATGTGATGGAGTTGGGTTTGCTCTCTGCTTGCCCCTGCCAGTTTCTATGATTTGGTTTCATTGGTTCTGCTAAGCCAGTTAACAGGTGTCCACCTGTTATCAGCTTCTCAAATATTGCCATGTTCTCCTCACTTGTATTTCCTTTTCCTAGGTCTTTGAAAATAAAGAAAGTGAAATAGATTTTCTACAGTTTTAGTTGGGCTTTGGAGGGAAGGAAATTATATATGTGTGGCTGATCTATCATTTGACCTAAAAATTTGGTGATAGCTCTTAGGTGCATGTCACATACCAGGTAAACACTAGAATGAGTTCTTACATAAAAATTATTGTAAGTACAGTGGTCCAATAACAACTTTTCAAGGTAACAAATAACGTTAAAAATCAGCTTCTATTGCTGCTCTTGAACTGCTTATTCATATCCTTTCTTTCATTCTTGACTTGGCTCTTTCCCTTTGGATCACCTCACCACTCTTTAGTTTCCTCCAGATTAAACACCATGCTTGACATGCTGTCCTGTAGACCCAACACTAGACCTGGAACACATTCTCCTCTGAGTAAGCAAAATGACTCCTATTTCAATCTTTTCATAATGTCTGTTTCATATGGGAATTTGTTCTACCACCTTATCGTAAGTAACAAATATTTCTTTGATGTCTATGCACAGATTTGAGAAAGTAGAATTTGTTTTTTGAAAATTTTAAATTCTGATAATTGATCTGCCAACAAAGAGGTTTCCCACTTTATTTGGCTATTCAAAAAAAAACTTCCTCTTGGTTTAAAAGATGATTATTAGAAATAAAAGATTAAGGCAGGGCACGGTGGCTCACACCTGTAGTCCCAGCACTTTGGGAGTCTGAGGCAGGTGGATCACCTGAGGTCAGGTGTTCGAGACCATCTTGGCCAATATGGCAAAACACCATCTCTAATAAAAATATACAACTTAGCTGGATGTGGTGGCAGGTGCCTGTAATCCCAGCTACTTGGGAGGTTGAGGCAGGAGAATTGCTTGAACCCAGGAAGTGGAGGTTGCAGTGAGCCCAGATTGTGCCACTGCACTCCAGCCTGGGCAACAGAGCGAGACTATCTCAAAACAAACAAACCAAAAAGAAGTAAACTATTAATATAAAAAAGATTAGTTTAACCTTGAGGCTTTCTTTATCATTTAATGAGCAATAAGAAATATTTAAAGAACTTCAGAGAAAATAAGTAAGGTGTTAAGAAAAAATCAAGGTCAAGTGCTTAAAATATTTGCTCTTGTAATGCAAATGCTTAAAATATCTTAATTCATAAGATTCTTAGAAAGTGGGTTGGAGAATACAACAATGCAAAATAAAGTTTCTGTAATTCTGGTTATAGTAAAGAATACAATTCAGTTTAGTATAGTAAACATATTTTTAGCTCCATCCTTGTGTAAGGCACTGCATTAGATGCTACATAGCAGGAGAAAAAGAAAAAAAAACAGTAAGAAGAATATAATTCCCAGGGGCTTAGACATTAACAAGAAATTAATTTTAAAAGTTGACATAAAATTATAAGCTTTGTCTAAAATGTTGGCTAAGAGTATGTTCATAGAACTTGTATTAAAATTGGAGTATTTTTCAAGAAAAAGGGAGACAATATTAATGACACTAGGAGAATCCTAGAAAAACACAATGCATACAGATGACATGAAGTTTCAAAGGTTGGGGAGTTTTTATCTATTCACTGAGGTCAGGGAAGATAGGGAAGCTGGAATTCAAAGTAGAGAGCACAGGATGTGCAAAAACATGGATAAGAGATGACAGATAATTGGATGGCTTTAGGTATAAAAATATATAATGATATACCCTGAGGAAAAAATCTTGAAAGACAAGTAGAGAATAGATTTTGAAGGCTCTGCTTATATAGTCTTTGTTTTTAAGATTTTAAGAGGAATGATATGATTTGAACTCTAATTCGAGGAGACTGGCCAGAAATGCATAGACTGGATGCAAAATAGTGATTGAATAAGGCAAGAACACTGAGCAGACAAGAAATAATGAACCTGAAATAGGGTAAGAATGCCAAGGAAATCAGATGGAAATGATACCATGCAGAACTAGAAGTAGAATTCACAGATATGGTAGATGTCGAACGGGGCATGTGCATCAAAGGGAGAAGGGGAAGGCCAAGAACTTGTGAAGTTTTAATGCATGAGTAAACAGGAGAATGTAGTGCCATTGAATAGATTAGATAATTCAGGAGAAATTTTCAAGGAAGGGAAGGGATGGTGGGAAGTTTTAAATTTAGTAGATTGAATCTGGAAAGCTAAAAAAAAAAATCAAATCAATTTGTCTAGCAAGTGGGTGGAAATTGTGAATCTGAATTTCACAGCACACCATAGTCATAAAGCTAAAGCCATGGATGGGAACAAGGATCCAGAAAAGAGTGTAGAAATAAAGGAAGTTAAGAACATGGTGGTGGTGGTGGTGGAGTTCATGTAAACTCACAAGAATTAGTTTAAAAAGTTAACATGGTGAGGGGAAAATCTTAAACTCTAATGTCTAGAAGCCAATAATGTATTGAAGACTGTGAGCCAGTTACTCTAACAGCCTCTGGGGATGAAAAAGGTAGAAGAACATGAATAGCCCTACCACCAAGGAGCTGCCTAGAACAAATATTAATGGCAGAGTAATTATTAGTACTAAATACTGTGAGGAAGTCCAGTAAGATAGGAAATAAAGACTCAATTTAGTGATGACAATACATTTAATTTACCTTTGATGAAATAAGTCTAGTGAAGTAGTGAGGAGTGCAACAAAATTATAAGAAGGAAAGAATGAGGGTGTGGAAAATAAAAAAAAATGGATTGTAAATTTTTCTTTCAAGGAATAATGCAATTGCAAAAGAGAGAATAAAAGAAAAGAAAGGAAAGGGAGGGAAGAGAGGAGGAGGGGAAGGAAGAGGAACAGTAGGAGGGGAGAGTCAGTGGCCCACTGGGGCAACTAATTTGAGAGGGTGACTGAATGCATCAAATTAGGTTGAAGTTATGCCAATTCAAATACTTTTAAAAAACAATTTAAAATATGCAAACATTATTATCCACCTCAACAAATAATATCTATTTCTACAGTGAGCTAGGTGTATAACTAGACTATCTATATCTTTATTCGTATTCTTCTTTTTCTATACAAGTTGTTATTCTAATTTAGTCCTTGATTGTGGCAAACTCATGTAATATATACCATATAACATTATATATTGATATTAAATACATCCATGTACCTAAGAAAAATAAATTATCTACTGAGTCATTTGGATGTTTCTAGCTTCTCTCTGACAATAAAAACAAAGGAGACTGATTCTTGGATTCAGATATTTATCGTTTAATATTCTTAATAGTTTTTTAAAAATCAAGTTTATCTTTTTTTAAAAAAGGCTTCTATAAATAAAAATAAACTATATTGTCAGTTGGCTCACCCTTGTAGGTTCTTTGACATGTTCTAAAAGCCGACAACTCTTATCTGCAGTCTTTTTTGAAACTCTTGATACATCTCCAAATTCCCCAGAACTCATTCTAGATTCAGAGCTCAACTTAACACAAAGGATCTCTATCCCTCTAGTCTACTTTTAATAACTTTAGGCAATTAAATCTCTGTAATCATTTTAGTTACTCTGCTTCACAGCTTCTCTTTCCTATGTGGATTAAAATTTGTAAGATTAATTTCTTGGTGGACAGGTGTAGCTTGATTTTGCATAAGAGAACAAACAACTTGTTTGCTTTATTCCCGATATGACTTCCTAAAATTCAGATGACCATTGATACATATTAGATTTGATCTTCAGAAAGTTCTTGGTTTAGCACTTGATTACTTGCAACTACTTGATATTCTCAGAAAGTGGTTTCACAGTTTATCCTGTGTACAAGGTAATTTATTAAGATGTTAGATATGAAAATATTAGTCATTCCTCTTGCTTTCTTTCTGTGAGTTGGTTCTTCTGTTCATGGCCATAGTTTACTATAATCCTTCTTTTTTCTTTTTCTTTTTTTTTTAAATGGAGACAGAGTCTTGCTCTGTCACCCAGGCTGGAGTGCAATGGCACAATCTTAACTCACTGCAACCTCCGCCTCCTGGGTCCAAGCAATTCTCCTGCCTCAGCCTCCCAAGTAGCTGGGATTACAGGCACCCACCATCATGACTGGCTAATTTTTCTATTTTGTTTTTGTAAAGACAGTGTTTTACCATGTTGGCCAGGCTGATCCTGAACTTATGACCTCAGGTGATCTACCCACCTTGGCCTTCCACAGTGCTGAGATTATAGGTGTGAGCCAACATGTCAGCCAATCCTATTATTAAATGAAAAAAAAAGGGGAGGGGGGATATCTTAAATGGGATTTTGCTAAAGACCTAATAGAAAAATTAATTTCTGTGATTAAATTTGCCTAGACAACTGTGATGTGTAACTTTAAAAGTAAATTATACTCACCTATCCAAAATGTTGTCTTTTATTCTTGTCAAGTCTTTGTAGAAACCTTAAAATATCCTATGTTCACAGGCATTTGCCTGAAATATATTTGATGCAATGTTTCTTCTCCTTTATTTGATAGCAGTTATAAGCATCTAGGTAGTAACTAAACAATTTCTCCAGTTGATGTGGCCAGTTTAATATACTTACTAATCCAAGTAAATGCACTGGCGATTTTTCCCTAGCTTAGTTTTCATTCTCTGTTTCATATGGATTAGAAAGACATAGATAGTAAAGGCTACTGTTTATAGATCATATCTTACATATTAGTCATAAATGCATGTAAATCAGTCATTGAGCAAAACCACAATGTCTGTGAACCATTTTTCTGTTCTCTTATTTATTGACAGTTTCTTTTAATTACAACACAATGAATTGATGGTAAATACAGAAGATGCAATAGTATAAAAAGCCATTTAACCCTTCCCTAGGTTAAGACACTTACAGCAGACAAAAACTGCCCCACCCCAAACCCCTTCTTGAATGGAAATAAAATAAATATAAATTAATAAATACAAAACAAATCACTGCACAGCCCTTAACTCTTTGATTGCCATGGCAAGAACCATGCTGATGATTCTAGCTTGTGACATTTGTGTGGTTAAAGGTTGCCGCAGCAGTCAAAGGGTTATAGCATTGTAAACATAAGTACTTTGTGGAAAAGTTCAGTCATGTTAATGGTCTATAGCAATGAGATTAATAGCATGTCCCCTTGACCTTTAATGACGCAACATTATAAGGAGTTAAAAGAGATAGTAGCTTGGTGAGCTGTCACATAGACTAGTCAACCACTTTATTTAACAATGTGCTATGAGGCCTTGATTTACTAATAAAAGACAACTTGTGAATAATAAACACTGTTCAATGCACTGATCAATAAAATCAATGAAAAAATTAATTTAAGCACCACAAAATTTTGCCTGATTTTATCTGACAGTCATAATACACTTTAGCACCATTTATTTAGCCTTATATTTGCACACAAACAAGCTTTGTGTTTGTCAGTAGAAGCTATCTGAAAAAAAAAATGCCAGAGTTAAGATGGTATAAATGTATAGAATCCTGTGTGGGCAAAAATTCACCACAACTTGCACACCTTAAAATTCATTCAGCAAACAAATGTATTATTTATTTCTTTCCTTGCACACAGAAGACTACATAGTATCAAGAACTTAATGAAATAGTGTTGAGTGTAATGAGAACAATGCAGAAACTTAAAAATCGAGATTTTATTACTCTCTCCATAACTGAAAACATCATGGGGAATTAAAATAAATGTAAAGTATTATCAGACAACCACAAGATAATGGCCCAAATATTTAATTTCCTGGCGTTTCTCTCTGCTTCACAGTTGAATGTTATTTAAATAAAGTCTGCATTAATTTTAATTCTTTTACTTTCCCATAACCACAATATAGAAAGGAAAAAATTATTTTCATAAGAAGCTGTATAATGTGTGTTGTTTACCCAAGAGACAACTTCCCTTTGCAACTACTTGCATCTCATTCTGACTCTGAATGATAAATGTCTGTGCAATTTTTTAAATATATGGTATTTATTTGACAAACTAAGTTTATGGGAGCTTTTTCTCCTTAATCTATCTAGTAAATAAATAAATATATATATATATATCATATATACTATATATTTCCAAATCTATATTACCAGATAGCTTATACAGATGTCATAAATCTGCATTATCACACTGATCCACACTGGAATCAAGATAATGTTAATATAGGTATACAAGTTTTAAAACAACTTAAAGACAGGTTACTATAATGATGAAGGAGGCAATTTTCTCAAGGTCAATAACTGATTCTTTATAAAACCATCAACCAACTATGAACTAATTCGATTTTATGTTTTTCTTTAAAAAGTTAGGTTTATTAAAAGTTATGTTAGCGCAAAATTGAACTAGTAAACTCCATTTATTTCCCTTCTATAATATAAAAACAAGATATATTTGTTTAAAATTAGATATCTAAAAAAAATTTCAAGACTTTTAAGCCTAACACAAATTTTTATGGCTGAGTCTCTAAAACCCCTTAAAATAGAGGTCCACAATAGAAATGCTGATACAGTCAAAACCAAGGCAGCAAAAAGCTGCCTCTATAACACCCCGAATTCTTCTATTCGATCTCTCTTTCTAATATATATGCAATTTTACACATAAAGAGAAATAGACCAAAGGATGAAGCTTTTAGGCATTTATGTACCCATGATGTACCTTAAACAGAACACTATACTGAGAGATTTACGTTCTTGTATAATTGTCTCATCAACAGATAATAGCCATCATACTCAGCATTTCTCTTTTCTCAGGGAAATAGTTCTATAAAAAGTTGGAAGCCAATGAGAGAGATTGGGATGTATGTGAACTTTACTAGGATTGTCTTTGCATGGCATTTTTGAAGAAAAATACAGAGAAACAAAGACATTTCCTGGGTACCATCTCTGATGTACAATGCTGCTCAATTCTGGTTTTCACAAAGTGAAAGGAAAATCAAATCTGTGTTTAAAAAACAAAAGACAAGGTAGAAATAGAAGGAAATGCGAATATAGACAGAGATTGCATAAGACAACTCAGTAAGATGTATCGTTCCCAAACATCTGTATTTTTGGGTGACAAACAGAAGGCAAACAAATAATGATCTTAGAATTGGAGGAGCAGAAAAACCAGGCACACACATACTTGCTTGGCAATTGTTTGTTTGGAAGTAATTAACATAGTGAAATTTTGTACTTATGAACATATAAAGGAATAATTGATTGTACATCAGCTATAAAAGAAGTAAATGCCAAAAATACCTAAAAACCTAATTTTGCTCAGGCAATGGTGTATACTAAAGAGCTGTGAGAAGACAGCCAATAATGTGGCTACTGTGATGGTATTTCAGTAATAGCAAAAATTATAACACTGATTTAAGGATAACTCTCACATTACTACCCAAATCGTTCATTCAAGCAAAGTATATTTTATCTTAACAATTGGGTTGTCAATATATAGAGAGGAAACAGGTTCAAATTGGCATTATGTAACAGCAAATGAAACATGCATCCTAGTGACGTTTCAAATAGACAGCTCACACCAGGCTTTATTCATCCATATCTTGGCAAGACAGGCCAATGTAGCGACATACATTCATATAAAAGGTGGCAAGTACAAGCAGCACCATATCCTATCCTAGGAAAATGCATCCTACCATGCAGTCACATCTCACCAAAGCTTCATCACATATAAAGTATGTATAAAAAGGCCTGTGTCAAAAAGCATTCTACCTGGGATCCAACCTACCCACAGACGAAATACTACAGAAATGTCTGTATTCTTTTTTCATGGATAAAAACAAGTGGAAAAAATTCCCAAGAAACATCTCTATAAGCCAAGTTTATCATTGTATTCTTGTTCACCATTCTTTTCTTTCAGTTTTTCTCTGTGAAATAAAGGTTAATGACATTTTGCTATGATGCTAAGCTACCCAACATAAGTATATTTTCGTATTTATATTTAATTGATTATTTTTATCCCTTCTTAAGGGCATACACATCCAGCTCTATAGCAGAGCACATGGCAAAGTTATATGAGTTTGCACAACAGTCTAGTGTATGATGTATTTTCCTATACTAGTCAATGTGCCTTTTAATGTGAGGACATGTTGAGTGCATGTTTGAATATTACCCCCAGTCCAATGATATATAAAATAAATTCTAAGACACACTGATATTTAAGTTGAAAAGGCATAGAATACTCAGAAATTTCTATAAATAAATGTCTTTCATACATAACTTTTATACTCTGACCACGAATTCTGGGTTATGCCCTCATTTTCCTTAGAAGGCATTAGTTATGAATGCCTGTGAAGTCTTTGTTACAACACTAAGCTTCTGTGATCTTGTATCCTTACTGTAGTATAAAGAATTAGTATTGTTCTAACAAATGATGCATGTCACGTTCAGTTATAAGCTCTTATTGTGTTTAGAAATTGAAGACTGCTACGTACTTCTGTATTCTACTAGAAAATTGACAGGAGTTTTACAATATCATTTTTCCTTTCATTTCTGTGAATATGTCTAATCAGTGTTCATTCTTAAGCTTTCTATACTATTGGTTGAACTTTCAAAGTAGACATATGTCTAAAATATTAAAACATATTTGTTATTAGATGTTATTAATCTTACCTGAAATATTTCAGAATTGTGTCAAAATCACACCAATGAAAAAAATGGAAAATGATTTCAGAAGTACATGAAAGACAGAGGTCACAATTAGATGAGACTAGAACACTAAGGCAACTTCTTTGCTACTATGCCAAGTGTTTTAGGTTACATGATTATTGAGGTAAATTTCTATCTTAGGGAAATGGCTTGTTTCAGGGGATTCTAACATTATATGTCTTTCCAACTGAGGTTACTGAATACCTACCTCTTATATTTTTAGCCTGTAAGGCAATGCATGAGTATCAGATATGCTTCAGCATGGTAACATCTAATGACCACTGGCTAAATATATACGATGATATATCACATAATCATCGCTAGTGTGAAGAGCTTGAAGTTGCATTTTTCCTCCACTATTTTATGCTTGCTAAAGTAAAATTTTCAGTTGTATTATCAAGGAGTGCTATAGATCGTCTTTATATTTAACAAAAGACTCATTTTCCCCCTCCTCGTTTCCATTATATTTATTAAATATAATAATTAGTTTTCATATTTATGGTGTGATACTATTCCTGGTTGCTGCTTTCTTTATTACATAAAATTCTAATTTTTTTTTTTTTTCGAGACGGAGTTTCACTCTTGTTACTCAGGCTGGAGTACAATGGCGCGATCTCGGCTCACCACAACCTCCACTTCCTGAGTTCAAACAATTCTCCTGCCTCAGCCTTCTGAGTAGCTGGGATTACAGGCACGCACCACCATGCCTGGCTAATTTTTTTTTGTATTTTTAGTAGAGACGGGGTTTCACCATGTTGACCAGGATGGTCTCGATCTCTTGACCTCGTGATCCACCCGCCTTGGCCTCCCAAAGTGCTGGGATTACAGGCTTGAGCCACCGCGCCCGGCCCATAAAATTCTAATTTTTAAGACATAACTGTTAAACATTTCCTGATGTAATTATGATTCCCTCCCAGGCAAAGTGGAACCTGTAACTTAGCTACATAGGTTCTGGCAGCTATTTCCTGTGGTCACAATATATCAACATCATGAAGGTGCATGAAATCCATCTGAATGAGTAGATCCTCTAATATGATTGACTTGACACATTTTGTGATATTACATACTGGCTGAGATTGCTGCAATAGGTCATCAGAAATTTACACTTTTGGCTTAGATAGCATATTCTATTTGACATCTGTGATACTTTAGAATATGCCCTTGAAAGCATCAGAAATAAAATAAGCTCTTTACTGTGTTTGCTAAAAAAGACCTTACCACCATCCAGAAGATTGTTTCAGTATATGCTACAAACTCACAGACTTGGTACTACCACTAAATAATTCTCTTTATTAGTTTCTGGAAATAATTCCAAAAACTTAAAAATATATATTTTTTGAGACTCAGTTTAACTCAGTCTATTTGATTATAAGATCCATTCCTCTTCAGATAGCACTTTGAGTTTAGTTAATACGGACACACTATTTTTTCCCCTGTAAGATTCATGAAGTGTGGGCGTGTTTTTGTACCACACCAGAGATATCACCATAATATGTAGAACTTGCAAATATTACTACTTCTATCATCCAGTATATATACCATCATCTATGCATTGGAACTAGCAGTGAATTTTGGCCAATGTTCTTATCCACCACATAGTATTTTTTAATCACCCACAGAGAAGTAATGGAAATAAGCATATAGTATATGAAATGGCCAAATTATGTGTTAACAAAAAAGATTATAGGTAATCTATTAAATATAACACTTACTTATTTCAGTAAGCGAGTCTATATCCTTCATTACTTAGTAATTATTTTTTGGTAATCATTACTTAGTAATTTATTACATCTGATTCAGAAAAGCCTTGCCCTCTGATTTATAACAGAAGTTGTCTTTGCTAGTATCACATAATGCTGTCCAATTTATCTCTATAACCTTTGCAATCAGAAAGAGTGTCTGTATTCACCTGCTCTGACTGCCATGTCAACAGACACCGTTCTGAAATGAGTCAATAGTTAAATTCACAACCTTATCTACAATTCTGATGTGGAATTACTGTTTTGCAGAAAATTCAAACTTATCAGCTATTTTAATACTTCATTGTGTTTAATAATATGCAGAGCAACAATCGTTTACTAAAATTCTTAACTATATGGTCATTTTATGTAAAGAACATTACCTTGACATTTGTGTTTATATTAGATAAAGTAATGAGAAATGAAGCAGAAGGAGAATTATTTTTGCAAGCATGAATGTGTTTTCATTTAAATTTGGGAAATCCTATGTCTGAGCTTTTCATGTTATTAGTGATGGGGTGATAAAAATATTTGATGCTTGCATATCTCTGCTAATACTGAACTGACACCTTATATTATTGACCTATGGAAGTTTATTTCACATTGGTTTTTGAATCACTATTCTTATGTGCTAGATCAGTTACTTTTCTTTTCACTGTTCCATTTGGATTGAGACTTTTTTCCCCAAACCCCAAGTGGAAGAGGAGTCAGGAACCATACCCACAAAGTACCTGGTATACAACAAACAAATGGAATCCCATTGTTTGTGATTACATTGTACTTATTGTTTTCTTATCTCTTGTAATAGTACAGCCTGATAACTGAAATGTTCTAGTCAAAAGAGCAGCCATATATGCCTTTGCTTATCATGTAAATCTTGTCTCATATTCGAGTAAATATTACCCAACCCTTATTTATGACATTTGCCAGAATTCAAACATAATGATAGACTCCTTCCTTCTTAATGCTATGGTTATTTTCTAGCCCTTATATGCTTATAATCTTATGACGAATCAGGATATTGTGATGAATGAGTAAAGAGGCAATAGATTGCTTATTCAGTTTCTTTCTCATTTTAGAGGAAAAAAATCAATTTTCAACGCAGGTTGATGGAGTTTCTCAATGATTTGCACATGTCCCAAAATGACACAGTTCCTCATTTCTATATTTAGCAAAATATAGTTTCCAGTTATTTTTTTCTTGACATCAAGGCCCTAAAAGGATTAAACCCTCCCACAAGCAAACACTGTATAAATGAGCTTATGTATATAGTCCTCCATGCTTAGCAGCAGTGACTAACTCTTTATAATATCAACATTATCTAGAATGGAAGCACTGAAGTAAAGCTACAGGGCTGGTTCTGGTTTTCTTTTCTTGCTTTCTTGGCCCTTGTGTACATAATCTCCAATATCATCCTAAAATATCGTCTACATTATACAATATTTCACTGTAAAGCCATTCTTTTCCTGCTGTTCTTTTTTCTTAGCCTCACAATATATATGCTCAGGTTGTAAGAAATAACAATCTGCAAGGCTTTGCAGCATGCCACCCACAATTATAAAACATTTTCCCCAACCAAATCATAAACATGTAGTTTAACCAAAAGGCATTCTACTTTTCATGCTATGTTGAGTATAAATATAAATTCAAGGCAGCCAAACTATCCATTTCCAAATAAGAATGTATACCTACACTCATTAAAAATCATCTGGAAATGTGTTATATTAGCAAATGAGTAAGAAATGTTTACTAGTATAAAATTCCTGCTTTATATAAAAGCCACACTGGCCATTCAAGTATTTGAGGTTTTTTTTTTTCTCTATAGTTTTTGTAATTTGTACTAAAATGATGAATTTAGACTTGAAATTATATTAAAATAAAATTAAAATTCACTTCTACCTATAGGGCATTTTCAGAGTGTGCATGTAAAGAGCAAAGTGTCCATCTGTAGATCTGCCAACAACACTTTCTTCACTCTAAGGAAACAGCTCATGCTTACTAGGTTTTATAGAACAACTAATCCAATGGAGAAGCAACACCAGATTTCCTTCAGTTTGTGCCAGTTTGCAAGTTAAAGGTCAAAGGGCAAAGACAAAGAACAGGACTCTTCAAGGAAAATTTTCACAGAAGACAATGTTTAAGTTGTTGTTAATGACAGTCAATAGATCAATAATCAAGTTCAAGGCAAGCTGTTCATTGTTTCAAAAGCTAATCCCCTCAAAGCTGGCTTTCACACAAAGCCAATGTCTGACTCATGGGGTGCATTCATTCTGACCATCTCTAATAAAGTTCACAGCCCAGTGGCTGTAAAGCCTTTCACTGCAAGAAGCAGCTCCTAAAAATCAATAAAGAGGTCTGTCAGTTGCTGACTTTTCTCTAGGAAAAAAATATTGATACAAACCTGCTCTGCAGGTCACATGAAAATGACAATACTGCTGTTAGGACAAATTACACTCAACAATGAAATGCTTTGGTGGTTTCTTGGCTCTGTCAGTGATCAAATGGATGGCTAAATGCCAGAAGCCACTCTAACCCTTTGAGAACTATGGTGGACATGCAATAGGTAATGCACTGGAAGATATTCATGCAACTTCAGAGTCATCATTTTAATTCATTTTTAAAATGGCAATGCTAACTGCATATACCAAGGCAAATTAAATTTTCATGCAATGGATTTTAAAACAGAAATTCAGTATGCCTAAAAAAAAAAAAAAAAAAAAAAGAAGAAGAAGAAGAGTTAGGCTCTTACCAGTTTTTCAAATAAAATTTCAGTCTTATGAGATTCTTAATAAAATACCTTTTTTATTTGCCAGAAAAAATTTGGCAAGTAGCATCATTTCTGTTTGTTACAAATGCATTTATGTAGTTGTGTAAATCACTTAAAAATTACATGACATTATAGGATATCTGTTTTAAAAGCCTGAAATTCTTGAGCCTGTGACTGTTTTTACCATTGCCCAGTTCTATAATTTATCAGTTCACAAGACCAACAATCCTAAGACTCTGAAATCTGGTCTGATAGTTCTCAAAGGGTCACACGGGTATATTACTAGTGTCACAAATCCTTGTAAAGTAACTGTCACAGTAATCCACTTCAGAGACATACTGCTTCTTGATCTGCTTTGTAATGACTATTCCTGACAGACCCACAGAAGGCCTGGGGCAATGGCCTAATGCAATTTGGGAAGATTATCACAATGATGAAGGGGTAAGGTGGAAAGAAGGGGTTTAGAAATACGTCAAAAACAATTAAAAGGTCGTGTTTGAAAATAGTTATGACTATAAATGTGATGAAACATTGAGTACATAGCTGAGAACAGCTGTATAAAACGAAAAATGGATGTATTATTAAGGCTGTTACTATATTGCAGATATTTTGGCCCCTTGGTTGTTGGAAAATGGCTGTCCCAACAGTCTAACGTCCTGCATATGTATTCCAAATCTCCCACCTGACAAAATGGTGCGTAGGAGACTATCCAAAGCAGTCAGAGAGCTATCTTCTTTGGAGACAAAGCTGTTTTGGGTCTTCACACTTTCCTGGAAGTTCAATTGTGGGGTTGTTAAACTCTTTTTTCCCTTTGTTTTAAAGCAAAAAAAAAAAAAAAGTGGGTTTTTTGATTTGCTTTTTTATAGTCCCCCCAGAAATGGGCTCAGACTTCAGAAGGAAAAATAATATTAGAAATTTTTAAGAAGAATCTTTTCTTCTTTTTTTCCTCTTCTTTAGTTAATCCTGAAATTTTACTGGGCATTGAGCGTGCAGAGGAAAGGCCTAGAACTGAATGACAAAGAAAGACAAAGGACTGAAGAACAGCAGATACTGTGCATCATGGAAGCTTCCCCATGAGTGTATTTCCACTCATGCGCAGGACCAGCAACCCTCTGGGTTTGAAAGGTCAGCCCCGAATCAGGCTGCCACAAGCCTGCTCCTAGCTAGGAAACAGCATAACAGCTCTTGTCTTGAATCTCAAGTTACCACAAACTCCTGGAAAAGAAAGAAAGAAGAAAAAACCCTACATCACACCCACTCTTGCATAGAGCGTTTACAGTACAGTATGTGGCGGGGTGTTCCTTTCCTCTTGAACTGGAACACAGTGTAAACCAATACAAGGAGGCATAAGGCCAAGATGCAGGGAATGACAATAGCTATGGCTTTCACAGTGCTGGCTGTGTTGTCCAGTTTGATGACAATGTCTACATCATCTGGTGGGCTGTGTCCTTCTTTAACTCTGTCTGTTGGTCCATCACAGCCCATAAAATCCTTGAGGATGGATCTTGGATATCCAGGTTCTACCTTGAGTATCTGGTTGTTGAATTTCCAATACTCCTTTCCTTTGTAGAAATATGTAAAGCCTGGGGGGAAAAACATACACACACACAGGTACCACTTATTTGTGAAAGTGTATATGTAGAGAAATGTTATTAAAATAGGCTGCCTTACGGATGTGTTTTAAGGACATTTACTTTTTATAGGAAGAAAGCACTATTTTTGGTTTAGCTGTCTGTTAAGATGGCTGTGGCTGCTGTGCTCCAGGAATGATGTCCTCTAATGCCTATGGAAAGCTCAGCCCAGAGAGAGAAATATTATTTACAGAGGACTGCTCCAAGACCATGCTAGGCAATCTACTAGTATTTCAAGTTAGAAAAGAGAAGCTTATCTTTTTACTGGCTTATAGGACTGCTGTTAGAAAATTACACATTAGTGTGATAATATCAATCTATATTGAAAGATGCTGACACAGCCTTATAAATTGAAACTCTGTTTACCCTCAGGCTGTTACTGGGAACATTGTTCAATATATGATAAAGAGGCTTCCCTATGAAACACCTCAAGGGAAATTTCTAATCATCTTAGTATCAGGAATCTGTGCTCCTTCTAAACAACAGGCTTCCTTTTGTAATTTGGATGAGAAATCATAAGAAAATATAAATCATAAAACTGGAGAGGCTTTCATTTGTCTGCAAGGAATCTTAACAAGTAAAGGGGATTCATAGTGTTTTGTACTCTAACCTCATTTCTGGCTCTAGGTCCTAAACATTTTGTTCCTTCTCCTTTTGTCCTCTTTATTTTACTTTATTCAATGTTTAATTTGTGTTACCTAGCTATATTTTATAGAACTTCAAAAGCCATTATTCATTATTTTAAGAATAAAGTTGAACATAAATATACAATTCTATTTTTAATACTTCTAGTACCTTATATTTCATGGGGAGGAGGTGGGATGTGGGAGGCTCAAGTAACTCAGCAATACATACAATTTATTTTCTAAAACATTATGAATGCACACAATAGACTTTGTAAGCTCCTGATGATTAAACTACAAATATAGACATTTTTCTTAGGACTATTCTCCAAATTTTATGTTTTTGTTGGGCACATATCCAGTTTTTTTCTTTCTGTCCACAGTTCATTCATGTCAAGTTTCTGTGTGACTATAGTACTTTGACTTAATTTGTCCTTTGAGATAAAAATTAAAAAATCAAGAAGAAATGTTTTAATGCTATAATTACTTAAAACTACATTTTGGGAGTTATCTATTTTTGATAGAGGGCATAATTTGTAGTTTATAATCATTAAAAAAGGTGATTTTTTTTCCTGTATGATTGAGGACTTATTATGGAAGAAGCATTGTGTTAAAGTTTAGTATATGGCCTCTCCTTTAATCCTCACAAGTACTCTATCAGGTAGAATTTATTATTTTTAGCCCAAGATATGGAGGATCAGAGACAAAATAACATGCTCATATTCTGGTGAACACAAGTTTTAAATATTGATCTAGATCTAGAGCCTGGACACTTAATTTTCTAAGACTAGGTGCTTTAGAAGGCTCCTGTCTTTTAAACATCCAAAGGTGTGATAGGTATCATTCTTGAATGAAGAACTCTGAAATCTCTCAAGGAATTTCTGATAGGACAGATGATCACTTCAGGTCACTTCATTTGGAAACCATTCTGTTCAATGCCATAAAAACCTACTGCTGCTTTTAGTTTCAGAGGACAGTTTTGCAATGGGAGCAACTTGCCAAGTGAAAACAGGTGTATGTAGATTCCAGTTTTTCAGTTGGGAGTTGGTATTTGATCGGGTTAATAAAATTCAATATAATTACTCAACAAGCTTGGATGAGGAAATCTTGAGGGCCTGCCAAATAACAGTACTTTAGATGATTATAATTGAATAATGACATTGATCTAGAACCAGACAGACCTACAAACTGGGTGAATGCACTTCTTATATCTATAAACTGGAAACCAACAGCTCGAAGTGTTCTCATCTTCAATTTTTTAGCTAAAGCCAATTACTACAGAGCTACTGGGCATTACACAAAAGTTAAGAAGTTTCTATTTACATGCTAAGCAGTTCTGCAGGCCAAATTTTACAGTAACACACTCCACATATAGAAGTAGAATTGTAGTTATTGAATACACTTGTTACAAATAAGAAGTCTAGGCCTGATGTGGAGGCTTATGCCTGTAATCCCACCACTTTGGGAGGCTGAGGCAGGAGGATTGCTTGAGCCCTGGAGTTCAGGAGACCAACCCGGGCATCACAGTGAGATAAGACCCTGTCTAAAAAAAAAAAAAAAAAAAAAAAACTAAAAAAAACAAATGGCTAGTTACTAGGAGATAGATAGTATACGCATTTGAAAAGAAGTAGCCTAAAATTTTGGTAATAGAAATATGCAAACCTTGATTCTGCAAAATTCATCTTGTTCAATAATTTAGGTTTTTTCATTTATGAAAGTCGATGATTGAAACAATGTTTAGGTATTTATATTTTTTTCCTTTTAAAAGCAGCTTTGACATATTTTTGGATATATGCTTATGAAGAACAACTTCTGGTGAATTCTTACCTATATTTTCATTGAGAAATTCTGGAAAATAAATTAATGAGGCTGTATTGTATTTGATGATCTTTTATGCTTGACTGAACCTTACTGGACTTTTCTATTGTTTCATCCTAAAAATGTAATGAGACATAATTCTTCACAGCTGGTACTATTATACAGCTTAGTAGACGTTCCTTGAGAGCAGTATCTCTGTGTTGTATTTTTGACCCTTAGGTGTTTACTACTAAGAAGTTGCTATTTAATACATATGAACAAATAAACTGAATCTTGTGGAAATATTTGTTAGAGTCAAACTTACAGAGTATATATCTTTATATAGTCTGTGATAACTCTTTATCAAAATGTAGTGTAGAGCAGTGGTAAGACCACTGTACATGTTAGCAAGAAATTGGTTTTGTCTGGGCCGTAACAAGCCCCTTTGGTTTACCTTCAAAAAAGCTCCCCTCTTTATTATTTAATTCTTAAAAAATACTTTTTATATCATTGTTCAAGTTTCCTCCTTGGTGACAGCTATAATTTTTAGGAACGATGTCAGTTTTCTGTCTTCCATGTGATCATCTTTCACACTTTTTCATTTCTTTGTCCTTTTTATCTATGTGGTTTCTTAAGTTTTAAGGCACATTATTAATCTGATTTTACTGACTTCAATGTGACTTTATTGCGACTTCCTTCAATCTCTTACTGCTTTCCCTTTTATCTCAGAAAGTTATGTTTTAATCTTAGTCTCACTGTCCTATGAATTTCTTCTTTTGTCACATACAGGTCATACCTTAACTTGGTCTTTTAATTTTCTGAGCCAATGGAATACACAAAAATTATTTTTCTCAGCAAGTACTCTGATAAGGACTTCAAGGTTCTTTTGGACTTTGCCTCTGCCTACGGTGTTCCACTTGTGGGACACTATCACACAGAATATAGTAGTATATCATTATATATACAGCAATGCTTAAAAAAAAGTAAATGTTCTTCCATTTTTTTATTGGTATGCATTTATTCTGGTTCTCACTTCGTTCAAGTTTATACTAGTATAGAGTTTTCCCTCCCTCCCTCCCTTCCTTTCTCTCTCTCTCTCTTTCTTTTTTTCATTTATTTACAGACAGAGTCTGGCTCTGTTGCCTAGACTGGTGTGCAGTGGCATGATCTCAGCCAGCTCAATGCAACCTCCTTCTCCCAGGTTCAAGCAATTCTCTTGCATCAGGCTCCTGAGTAGCTGGGACTACAGGTGCACATCACCATGCCTGGCTAATTTATATGTTTTTAGTAGAGACCATTTTGGGTGTGACCATTTTGGTCAGTCTGATCTCAAACTCCTGACCTCAGGGGATCTGCCCATATCAGCCTCCCAGAGTGTTGAGATTACAGGTGTAAGCCCCATGCCCTGTCAGTGTAGAGTTTTCTTAATCTTCCAATATGCCTATGGTTAATTACAGTTTTCAGTGGTAGTATAAGTATGATTTTTTATTTTCCGCTGATTTTTTCATTAACCTTGGTTATTTTTCTTCCCTGCCCATAGATACACTTAGTTTTGTTCTTACAAAAGATGCCTATTTTTGCTTATGTTGAAAATATGTCATAGACTCTTCATGTTATTGAGAACATACATAATATACTATTTTCTTATGGTTCCTATTGATGTTGAGGTAATTTTTTCTCTATTTCAGAATGTCGTTTTTCTTTCCTTTGTTCTGAAATATTGCACATAAATTCAATTTCAAATTATTATGATTTATTCCTAGTTAGTAATCCCTGGATGACAAGAGGTATGCTCACATTTCATATCTGCCAAAAGACAGGGAAGTATGGATTATCCATGGTTTGGCTAACTTTCCACCCAGGATCTAGCAGAATCTGAAACCCTCAGTAGCAAGTAAAGGAGGCAGCTCTCAGATTTGTTTCCTGCTGTTATGCCATCATACATCCACTCTATTCTCACTGTATTGAGTTGGAATTTTCCTTGACTGCTGACACTCTAAGCCAAAAAATACATACAAATTATAATCCTCAATATGCATTATTACCAGATATAATACCTCAACTGGCATGTATATCTTCCTTGTGACCTGTTCTGTCCCATGTATTTTTAATATAATCTTTACAGGAATTTTAATAGAAATATAGGTTACTTCAAAGGTATACATAACTTCCATATTAAACTATTATCTGTATTTTTTTCTAATGAGTTTTTACAAACTAAAATAAGTTGAGGTTAAAAAATGTCTATAGCATAATATTACATGTAAATCTAGGAAAGAAAGTTAATATAAATGGAAATATAGTATTACATAGCTCTAGTATAGCACTTTCCAATGGTTTATTCCAATGGTTTAATTTAGCAGAGTGAAAAAGCTAATGTGTTACTATGACAGCAAACTTATGAAATGTAGAAAGCACATGTTGCATACCATTTTCTTTGTGTACAAATGCTCCCTGAGGAGATTCAGGGATTCCTTTCCAGACTGTGATTGGCTTGGGATAGCCAGGGTCCATTGTTTTCATTTCTTCACTATATCTCCAATATCTACAAAGGATTAAAACAACAACAACGACAATAACATATAGGGAAAGGTTATGCATACAAACAATAATAACTAACATTTATTAGACCTTTGCTGTGTGCTTGACTTAGTTACTTGTGCACCTGTTAATGATTTACAGAACTCCAACTGGCAAGCTCTGATTTAAATCACTGAAATACAATGAGCATACGGCATTTATTCTGTTTCTTCTCCTGCATATATCAAAATGGGCATCTTATTGTCCATATCCTGCCCATGTTAAAAATAAGTTTTTATTCAGTCTGCTAAAATGAATAAAAAGTGCTAAGTATATTTATAGTTCATATGGACATCACCAACCTGCATATATATATATATATATATATATATATATATATATATATCTCAGAGGTTTTCATGAATTTTTAAAAAACCTTTCTTAGGGAGCAGAACATTTTAAAAAAAAATTTAAAGCAGAATCTTGATTTATTTATTCATTCAGTACATATTTAGTGAATATGTATTATGTTTCTGGCATTATGGTGGGGCCAGAGATTCAACCGTGCACAACACAGATATGCTGTGGCTCTCACTGATTTCACATTATAGGATATGTGAGGACATGGGAAATAAACCAATCTATCAATAAACGCAAACTAACAGCTGTGAAAGCAGAGCAGATAAGGTTATCTAGGAATATCAAATGCCAGGTTAAATTGGTGAACAGAGAGGTCCTCTCTGATAAGCTGATATCTGAGCAGAGAAAAGTGAGGAGCAGTACATGTAGTCTTTGGGAGAAGAACATTCCAGGCAGAGGAACTAGGAATGAAAAATTCCTGTGGCAGGCACGTGCTTGGAGTACCTGTGTCTACAAGGAGGCCGAGGTGACTGGAATTGAGTTAGTGATGGGGAGACAAGGTGAGAGTGTGAACCAGAACTTAAAATTAGATAAACCTTTACACTATAGTGAGCCTTTGGTTTTCCTCTAAGAGAGATGGGAAACCAATATATATTTTGAACAGAGGAGCTTAAACTTATGGCTAATTGTTGAAAAGAATACACTGGTTGCTATGAATAAAATAGCTTGAAGGAGATAAGGCAGAAGCTGGAATGCCAGTTGGGATGTCACTGCAATAATCCTTGGACTAGGAAGTCAACTATAGCACTGATGATAAATCAAGGGATTGGGGATATATTTTAAAGGAAGAGCCAGAGGACTTACTCATGGATTCGATGTGGGATGTGAAAGAGAAGGAAGCTGAGTATGACTCAAGAATTGTGAGTCTGATTATCTGGAAGAATAATGCTGTCATTTAGTAATACAATGAAATAAGAGAAGGTAAGTTGAGACAGATTGAGAAATCATGAATCTGGTGTCAGCTAAATTAAATTTAGACTTCAAAGTGGAGCTGCTGATGAGGAAACTGGGAATGTGAGTATAGACATTAGGGCAGGTCTTGATTGGAGTATTCAGTGTATAGACATTAATACAAGTAAAAGCAAGGCTCACCAAGAGACTCTTATCCCTTCGCAGGGTAGTCCTTGAGCCACTTTCACAGAATCCTAGTCTTCCAAGGAACAAATTGTGAACATCCCTACTTTGGATCATTCATTATTGTCCATATATTTTAAGACTAAAATGAGTTTATATTTTGAATAGTCACAAAGATTGACAAAACAGGGTAAAGTCATTGGGAGTTCACAGTGATATCATCTATTTCAGGCAGCCCTATTGCTCTATGCATTATTTTATTTAATCACAACAAACCCATGAGATAGTCATCACTGTCCCCATTTGAGAGAGGAGAATTCTTGGAGGACATTGAATGATAGGTAGGAGTATAATCATGTTTGTCTGATTTCAAAAGTATTTGCTATTTTCACTAAAGCTAGCGTTTCACCAACACATATTTGGGAAATGATATATTTTTTAAAAATCCTCTTTGACTTAGCCATTTTTTCTGAAATTTGAAAAAAATAAATACTTTACAGTTTGGATATTTCTCTGCCAGGCCTATGAAGGATTTTTTACCTATAGAGCTCTGGGGTCCTGTGTAGAAGCTTTTGCTACAAATTCCTAGAAACATCACTTGAGTAACATCTGGAATTCCTCCATCCATTGAAGATGCACTTTCTCAATCTTCAATGTTCACATAGATGGGAAAAAGATTGTTTCAGGAAGTGTTCTAAGAAGTACCCCAAAGAAGAGTTTATACCAAAAGGGAAACTGTCAGAGTTATTTGTAGCAGGTTCTAATCACATGAAAGATGAGAACAGATCTGATGGACAGATCAGGAATAGCTTCATGGAGGTGCACTGAGCTGAAAGAATGGTGCCTGGACTGCATCTTTCTGAAGAGGACAATGAAGTGGAATCATTAGTGTAGCATGCCACCAATTCTAAAATATATTTTCTTTTACATTTTGTGCATAGTAACATTTAAATTAATATATTTAAATAAACATAATTTTTGAATATTCTTGTCACAGAACATTCTGTGAATGGTTAATACAGTTGAGATTTGCTCATAAAGAACTCTCAAATAATAATAATAATAGTAATAATAAATAAAATTAGGAATAACTTAAAATCCTGAGGACAATGGTATCACATCTTGCATGTGATTTAAGTAACAATAATACATGCCAAGCAACCAGATTAGTTTTCTGAGAAGTAGTTATGCTTTTGATGTAATAATACCTACACTGTATGTAGTGTTTTATAGCTATAAAGTAAATTTATGTATATATATTATTTTATCTTGTTTTGCTTAAATCCCTCAACAGTCTTTTATATCACATATTACAGTGTTCTCTATAATAATGTCCTAACTATAGATTTAGTATGAATGGTCACTCAATTCAAGCAATAACAGAGCATTGGGCATCATATTATTCAAAAACAATTGACTTAGTCACCTTTACTGTGTCTGAATGTGGTAGAATTGAAATTCAAGTGTTACTGCTAGTGTCTGCCTGTGTTTCTTCTCTCTCAATGCTGCCATTCAAATAACTTGTGTTCATTGTTTGGGTATAGCTTTCCTTTCTCCCTTAGTCTGTTCATTCATAGATTAATTCACTCACTGATGCTTCTCTGAGCACCTACATTATATGCCAGACTCACAGGATTCAGAGAGATCTCATTTCAAGGAAATGTTAATGGAATGTCAATTTTATTACACTCTTTTGTAGGAAAGTAATTCTGGTATAAATTTGTCAATATAAAAGCATTTTCCCTCTCCTAGCAGATAATGCAAAACAATAATTTAGGATCGTTTTACAATTTTAGAAAAACTCAACATAGGCTTGAGCCCAAAGGTTGTCTGCTTTGTGTCAGCTTTGATATACATCCAGTAAACCGGAATGCAATTAGAATTATCTATGGTTAGCACTGTCTTATAAAAGGTGCTGAGGCTTATTCATAAATATTGCTTCGTATTTTAATTACCAACATATTCGAGCATATGACAACATGAACAAGGCTCATTCAACTGAATTCTTTTCCCTGAAAAATAAACTTATAGATTCAATGAGAAGTAAATTAGCATATTCATATCAGAACACTATGTAAATAAACAATTTTGGGGCTTTAAAATGTAGATATTTTCATGGAAAACACTGACATTTTGTGTGGGAGGGTCAGTAAGTATAAAAGCTATTATAAATGAACATCATAGCTCTTTCTTCTGATTCATCAGTTATCTCTACAGTAGAATTTTGACTTTAGTCATATGATTCTTTGAGATTTGCATTCTTAGTCAATGTCTCAATATCCCATTCCTCAGGATCAGTCTTAAAAATGCAACAGAACAGACAATATCAATCTATCAGTTTTCGCTGTATTTTTGAATGACTCAAAAACATACATTAAGAAATTAATTTATAAACATACCACTTAAGCCGGAGGAAATAAACGTATTGTTCTATTTCATTATTAGAGATGATAATTAAGAAAACAAAGTGGGTCTATATTTTGTTATTTTTATTTGAAAATACCTTACAATTCTCAACAACTACGCTTCTTATGAAATATGGCAGTAGAGTCTTAGATATGATTGTGAGATGTTGAGAGATGACTTAGAAACATAGCATTTTAAGCTAAATGTTATGAAGATCAAAACATATCCAAGTACCGAAGCATAGTGTGTTAACAAAAGGGCAAGTAGGAATCTGAGGGACTGAGTTCCATGCTGTATGTAAAATAGTACAACACTAGATATTTTAATCTGAATTTACAGTTTTATTTAAAGAACCATCAGTTCATCTACTCTCTTTAGCTATCTCTATACTTAGAAGATTTCAACTGGGCTCTTGCTTTCAATACCATTTATATGTCGATAACTCTGAAATCTGTGCCTCCAACTAAATTTTCCATTAAGATGCAAACTCGATTATCCAACCACCTACTTGACTTCTTCACTTGATGTATAAATAGGCACCTCAGTTAAGCATGGACATTTCAATTTCTTAATCCCTTTCCCTTAATATTCCTGTCTCTGTGTTTTGTTTTTGTTTTTAAATCTCCAGATAAGGTACTGTCTACTTAATTACTTGAGTGAAAAGCCTAGTAGTTGTCCTGATTTATTTGTTCCTCCCTAAAATCCAAGCCCTGAGGACAACTTGTTATCACACTCAAAATTATCCTGCACCCACCCACTTTGCTTCTTCTCCATCGCTACCATCATGTCTTCCTGCAGTCCTTCAACAGTCTCTCAGTTACTCTCCACTCTTGGAGCTCATTCTTCATACAGAAGCCAGCACAGTCTTTGTGAATACACATAAGATCATGTCACTTCCCTGTTGAAAACCATCCAGTGCCTCTTCCTTGTACTTAGAATAATCAAACTCTTTGCCATGGGCCATGGGACCCTGTGTAAACTGGTCCCTATTGACCAGTTTGACCTCTCCTACCACTTTAATCTCTATGCTCTAGCAACACTGTTTTTAAACAATCCAGCTTCTTTCTTAATTACTGCCTTGGCATGCCTATATCATCCACCTGCAACACATTGTCCTCAATAGCTTTCTATGGCTACGTCTACACTCAGGTGACCCCTTCACAAGTGAGGCTTTCTCCGAGGTCAGCACTAAGTCCCAACCTGTCCTTACCACCAGGAGTCTCTCTCGTGGCAACACCTTATTTTAGTTCTTTGTAGCATTTCTTACTGTGAAAATGATCAGGGTTATTTATTTGTTTACTGCTTTTCATTTGTCTCCTCCAACACAGTCTAAGTGTCATGAAAGCAGGAGCTCTGTGGTTTTTCTTTCTACTACACTATCTTCATTACCTAGTACATGTCACATACTTTGTGTTCCAAAATGCATTTTTGAATCAATTAAATGAGTGCTAGGGTAGGACCCGTGTAGAAATCTTAAGGAAGCAGGCATCAGAGCTACTGAGGATAGAATGGGCTGCCTCATGTTCATACTATAACAGGCAGTTTAGTGGAGAGGGAAGGGTACCCTTGGGCTGCAATTGAGGGTATCTACATTTTGATAGGAAGTGAACAACATTCAGGGCTGATGTATGACAGCATGTAATTTAAAGATGTGCTTTGTTTGCCTAGTAGATTATTTGAAGTGATCTGGATTTTGAATGCTTTTCTAGAGTTTTTGCACTTTCTGGCTCACAGTAGTACTTGTCATTCGCTATTGCCTTAGATATACTGCTTTACACAGTTACACCCATTACTCACCTGAATTATAGCTGTTATTTACCTGATCTCTTTAAGGACCTGAATCTTTTATAACGGTTCTAGATACAAAAATAGTTTTTTGCTTTTAGTATTAGAGAAATAGAAAACTGTTGACATATTTTTTTTGCTTCTTTGTAAGCAGAAAAATGGTAATGGGTAAAGAGGGGAGAAATAATGAAAAATTTTCATATAAAAGTAACAACTAAATTGTTGTTTCTATGCATCAGTTAGAGAGTTTAATGTCTTTTCATCTACTTTTAAATCTAGAATAAATTTATTGATAAATACTGTTGACTCTGGAAATATGTAATTATACAACTACAGAGTAAGCTATTTATAAAACATCTATAACTTGTGACATCTTACATAAGATCACACACGCAAATTAGTTGAAATCCTGCTTTCAATTTTTTAAAACCTGTAAAACCACAGTCGTTTATATAGAGCTTAAAAGTAATAAAGGCGTTTCTACACCTTTGCCATATTTGTCATGCAGCTTTTCAAGCAGGGAGCAAATGAACTAAAAACCCTTTTCCCATTTGCTATAGTCTTTTTTCTTCTATACTTTTGGCATCTAATCTCCACTGATTTCACAAATTTGAGGTACTTCATGTTTACTCTTTAAACTTAAATGTTCCAATAAGTACTAAATTTAGAGAATGGAAACATTTTAAATGTAATCCTTACATTTGTGGGAAAAAGAGCTATCTGATAATGAAATGGCCATTTTTATTATCATCTATGAAACTAATTAAAACTGTTAAATAAAACTAAGCTTCCATTTTCTGTACCCTATAAGCTAACTTCTTCAAAGTATCTCCTCAGCCTTTAATTTCTGCCTTTTTTTGAGAAAAAAAAATATTGCAACTCTGTGTAGTACTGAGTCCCGCATGGGTACATTTAAAAGCAGCTGATAAATGTAACAACCTTAAGGGTGATATCATTTTAAAAAATATGTTACAAGTCTGTAGATTTATTTTATTAGTGGTCACTATGCAGTGGCAATAAAGTTCTTCCCTTTTCATTTTCTATTACATTGACATCCTGTTGAGAGTCATTATTCTTTATTATTCTTTTTGTGGCTTTAAGTAGCATCTTCTCCTTTAATCGAATTTTTGTTTGATATATCTTTTTAATTTGTGATTTAGCAAGAAATATTTTAGCACAGCCTAGCTTTATTTTAATTAATTAAAATCTATGAGCATTTTGCTATGGAAAAATACAGGAATATTGCATATAAAGTTAGTCAAAGAATAAATTTAAAAGTGTACGTTCTTATTCATGGAAGCCAATTATAGGATCTTTTGTTCACACATAAAGCTCAATGTTTAAAACCATTTGCTATTAAAAATTGTAAATTTCCAAATAAACAAGATTTATAACCTCACTTACCTTTCTCTTAGATGTGGAGACATTGCGTAGGGTTAATTTATGCTAAGATAATATGGCAAACTCAATACTGGCATACTGGACATTGAAGACTATATTTTATATGTGTGTATCTTTTTAAAAATGTACGCATAAATGGTAGAACAATGGCAGACTGAAGCCCTACAAACCAATAAATACTACTCATGAAGTTCTCATTGTGAGCTAGCTAGTGATAGTGTAATTAAAATTTGATTTTTGATATTTTTTGATTTAATATTTATTTAAATTAATAAAAAAACATAGGCTTCAACTTAATTTGTAATATCTGTTAACAATTAGGCAGGGATGGGGTTATATCTGCCTAATAGCTACTGTAAGGTTATTTGTTTTGTTTTTGTTTTTGAGACTGGGTCTCACTCTGTTGGCAAGATTGGAGTATAGTGATACAATTTTGGCCCACTGCAGCCTTTGCCTCCCTAGTTCAAGTGATTCTCATGCCTCAGCCTCCCAAGTAGCTGGAATTACAGGTGTGTGCCACCATGCCTGGCTAAGTTTTGTATTTTTAGTCGAGACGGGGTTTCCCCATGTTGGCCAGGCTGGTCTCGAACTCCTGACCTTAAGTGATCCACCCATCTCAGCCTCACAAAGTGCTGGGATTACAGGCATGAACCAGTGCGCCTGGTCCTATTGTAAGTTTTAAAACTACAACTTTCATTTTGTGAACTCTATTAGTAATATCAAAAAAGGAAAAAAAAAAAAGAGGAAAATACAAATAAAATACCTGGTGAAAAAAATTATACTGCAAGCTAAAAGTATTTAGCCTAGTAATAGTTTGACTACGGTGTCTAAATAAATGGCTTCTTAAGAAGTAGCATCTATGACGAAACTGAAATTCTTCAGCAGTCTTCACAATTCATTGTATACAAAGTATAAAAATTTAACTTTGAATATGAAAACACAAAAATCCTGTGCTAAAAAGTATTTTTTTCTAAACAAAATCAATAAAATTCCCCAAAAAATGCATTGCAAAGATACATATATACACTGCCTACACTGTATTTTGAACATGTTGCAATTATGGGGAAATGAAAAAAAAATATGCTAGGTATACACATTCATAAGAAAATCACGTTAGCTGAATATGTTAGAGAAAGATTTATCTTAAATATTATTTGAAATATAAACAAAATTTTAATTGCATCAACTCCTGTGTTAAATCCACCAAAATTCTTCATCAACAGCTCATGCCACTGATAGCCTAGAAATGCTGGCTTTCTAAACACTAGTCAATTAACTGTTTTTCTCACGATAAGTGGATACTGACCTGTCTCCCTTGAAGAAATAGGTTTTCCCAACGTCCTCCCACCAAATGGCTGAATCAATACCATGAGGGGGAATTCCACTTCCAAGGGTTATCAAGTCATGAGGGTAACCAGGTTGAAGAGTTGTGTCCTTGAATACCCAATATTTGTTACCTGTATGAAATAAGTGTAAATGCAGAATATATTAATTTCATGTCAGAAATTAGAATATATCTATTAACACAATACATTTAAAATCATTATATTAGATGTATATTATACATTTAAAATTATTATTCTAAATATATATTATTTTAAATATATTATATAAAATCCTTGAAATAAGTTAGTAGTTGTCCCATCTAGAACATTAGTGTTATTTTTGAAATATCATTCCTAAGTGGATATAATGAAAACAACTTACTAATATAATAATATAACTAAAAATTTGTGAGTGAATTTAAAAAATGAAATAGATCTATAACTTTGCCATAAATAAACAGTTCTGAGTTAAGAATGAAGGATTCTTCCCCTAAAAATTAGAGGTCCTACTTTTTTTTCAAGGTTAAATCATTCCTGTATTTTGAGAAACGGGTATGCCCTCAGATTGGCTTCATGATTATAACCTCTACTCAACTGAAACACTTCCTCTGGGCTGGTCCTTTCTTTACATAAGCATCCACAAGACTCCCTAGTCTTATAAATTCATCCTCCCTTGACCTCATGCCCTCTTCTAACTGTTTCTATTCCTGTCTTTAAAGTAACAGTGGTAACAGAGGGGAGAAAAATTTTAACCTTAGCTGTGTGTGGAATTGCTGGAGCATGGCATGATGATACTAAACAGCAGACAGGCTTTAGTCAGTTTTATTGCTGTTTCACAATTCTCTACAGACAGCACACTTCCTCATGTCCTCCCGATGCCCCTGGCCAACTGTACCCACCATTTCTAATGGTGTGCCTATCAAGTTTCAGTCCACTGAAACTTTTAGTTCTGGAGTCACCAATGCCCTCCAGCTAAACAATTCTCCATCCTTGTCTATTGACACAATTGAGCACCTTAAGTACTTTCCTCCTTGAGCTACTAGAAAACCATTTTCTTTTGATCTGTTTGTTCTCTAGCTGCTCCTTTCTGGGCTTATTATATTTTACTCAGCCCTTGATGTTTCCTAAGAGTCTGTTCTTTGCTGTCTTCTCTTTTATCCCAAATAAGGAGGGGTCACAAACTCAAATAACTACAAGGGCTAAGCTAGAGATGCTTGTAGTAGTGCAGTATCTCCACTAATATTGAGATATTTCCATAAAAGTCAGTAAATATCCATTATCCTAGAGATGTTTCCTTCCTTCCCAAGTCCTCTTTTCCTGGGCCTTCTGAATCATTCTACAATCCAGCAACCTCTTGGATCTCTAGTATCTCCTGGGGTTAATATCTGGCAAAGAAATGTGTCCTGATGTCCTTTCTACAATATTTCAAAACCACCCATAGATGCGGACTATGATAAACTGTAGTTTTCATATAATACCTAAGGGTATTCCAAAACATTTAAACAGTGTGCTGTTTTAACACAAAATAAGCAAATAAGACCCACACATCTTTAGGCCAGATTTAGTTAAGAATTTCTTCTAGTTTGTAGCCATGGGTAATCTCATTTACTCCAAGACCTTCTACCACCTTTTGATATCATTTAAGTTAAAACAACATTTATTGAGTATCTTCAAGTATCCCAAGTATCATGGCAGGTACTAAGGATACCGAAGAGGATTAAGAGAGTCCTGATTGCTACCCTGATTATCCTACATGACAGCAGAAGAGGCAGATGAAAACTAAATATACAAATATATAACTGTAGTAATTGAAAAACTAGTGAAGGCTAGGAAAAAAAAAACAACAGAAGTTGAGAAAAAAAATAAAGAGAACTTACTTTAAGTAAAAAAGGTCAGGGAAGACCTCTCTGAAGAAATACACCAAAATCTAAAGAAAGAGAAGGTAATAAATATGCAAAGAATATTGGGAAGTGCATTCAGAGCAGAAGACAGTTTGGGATGATCAAAAAATTGAAAGAAGATCAGTAATTTGTAATAAGCAAGTACAAAAACATTGAAAATCAACATAATGCATCGGAATCTTATTTTGAGTGTACTAAAGACCATCAAGGAGATTAAATTTGTGTTGGGTTATGATTGATTTTATATTTTAAAATGATGATTTTTGGTGAAAAATGTATTATAAAGGGAAGAATGAAAATGAGAGGACCCATTAAGAGTCTTTGACAAGAATTAATTGAATCATTCACTCAACAATTACTTAGTACATATACCAGGCACTGTTGTAGGCACTACAGATAGAGAAGTGAACCAGAAGGGCAACATCTCTATCTCATGAAGCTTAGATTTCAGTGAGTGATTATGGAAATATTTACTTGAATCAAACAGATAAATTCAAACTCCAGAGAGCAAAGTGCTACACAGAGAAAGAAAAAAGGACATTAAGGTGACAGTGATGGGATCGGGGCTACTTTGTATTAGACACAGGAAAAATCCCTTTATTCAATTGTGACATATAATTCAAAGGAGCAAGACAACTGAATATTGTTTAAGGTAAAGGAAACCTGAAGAATAAATTACATAATGGGAAGAGGCTTGTTGTACAGCTAGAATAGCGTATGATAGGAGTGTATAATAATAGAGATAAGGATCATGTAATCCTTGTAGGACTTGAACTTTATTCTAAGTGAAATATGAAGTCATTGAATAGTTAAATAAAAAAATCCTTATATAGTGGTTTGGACCAATACAGCTGAAATAGAGGTGGAAAGGAGAAAATGAAGTCATGACATATTTTGGAGATGGAATTGATAGGCACTGCTGAGGGAAATAAGAAAAAGATAGTATCAAGAATGTTCCTCAAGTTCTGGCTTGTGTAGATAAGTCAATAACAGTGCTATTTAATAAGACAATGAAGACTAAAGGTGGGTGGGCTGTTGGAAAATTAAATCAAGAGTCTGAGATGTCACTGAAATATCTACATAAAGAAGTTATGTAGGCAACCAGGTATTTCAGTTTGAAAATAAGTTTGTAAGATACAAGCATATATGTGGCATTTATAAATTTAGGATGTGTTGAGATTATCCTGGGAAGAATATATACAGAAGATAAAGAGAAACCAGAACTGGATTTCTAGAAATCTGTGCCCATTAGAAAAGATCACATAAAGGAAGAAAGAGGAGGAGGCACATGAGGAGAAAAAAGAGGCAGTATTGAAGACAAAAGTAAAAGAAAACATCAGAAGCCAGAAAGAAAAAAGCATAGTCATTTATGCCTATCTCTGGTCCAAATATCTCTTGAAAGTCAACTAGTATCTATAGTTATCTGATGGGATTTTCTACAAAATCCAAATTTGAACTCATCTGAAAACCTTTCTTATTTTCCCTCTTTGGGTAGATGGAATATGAGTTACTCTGTGGCTGACATTAGAAACCTCCTTGTTCATTACTTTCCATATTTAATGGATCATTACATCCAGCTGATTCCAATTCCTAACTCTCACTTATAACTGTCCTTTGAAGTCTGTTCTTTTTACCAATGGTCCTTTCTATCATTCTTTCCATCATCCCTTCTAAAGGTAATTGCTTTGTCCACAAGCTGTAAGGTAGGTGTCATTGTTCTCCACATCCACTCTCTATACTATCACTTTAAGACTAGAACCACTCAAAATGCTGTGCTGGAGAGTAAGCTAAGGAGACATGGCTTCATCTGATGATAAGCAGAGAGAAGCAGAACTATCCTCCTCTCTATCTTGGGAAGATGACCCAGAGAATACTGAGAGACTGTCCCTTTCAGCAGGGGGAACTGACTATTTTTTATATAATATGAAGCCTGAGAAGCCAAGATGGCCAGAGGAAGTGGATATTATGAGGAGGTAGAAATTGAATAAATGAGATGGACTGAAAGAGAAAAGAGAATAAAAAGAAAAAAGCGATGCAAGGAGCAAAGCTATGAATGAGAGAGGGGCCAGAAGGCAAGTGTAGCAAGTTCCTGGCAGTCTGAGTTCCTGTTACACACCCACTCCTTACCATAAGTTCTGCATAAGCTCAACTAACCTTACTGGGTTTATTTTTTCTTTTAACTGAATGAGATTGGGCAACCTAAAATCGTGTACACTCAAGTATCACGTAAGTTGTAATGTGCATCTGAGCCCAAGCCTGTTGGCCAGAATTTTGGCTTTAGCCAATGGTACCATGCTGTCTTCCAACCATGAGACTTAAGAGGAATCTGTTTATTTCCTAGTTTAAGTTATTTAAACAGTTTCCTTTCTTGTTTACCTGTCTCCACTCTGTTTCCCTTTTATCTATCCCCCATAAAGTCAATACAGGAATTTCTTGAAAATGCATACTTGATTTTTGTTCTCTTTTGTTTAAAAATTTCAGTGGTTTCTCATTGCATTCAGGATAAAACCCAAATTCATTATGTGTCATTTCAAGGCTCCTTTCAGTATGGGTCTCTTATCTCATCTACATTTCACTTAGTTCCATTTATGGAAAACTAGGATGACACTTTCAAAACTTAGCTTAGCATGATTTCTCTGAAAAGCATTTCCTATCCGAATATGGTGGGCATCTTACATTGTCAGAGTACTGGTATTTACCTTGCTCTTATTACTTAGTACATTGTACTTTGATGAATCACAAGCCTGCCGCCCACTCTAGACTGTGAGTAACCTGAGGAAAAACGCTACATTGAACACATTATTTTCCTGCAGCACCTCTAGGCTTAGAAGGTAGGTGCTTAATAAATGGTTACCGATGCAAAGAGCCATGTTTAATATTATATGACTAATCAAACATAGGATAAAAAAATCTAACAAGGCACAATAAAGGCTACATAAATAACACTGTGGGCATTAGCCTGGAATCTTCTTAGTATAGCAATAAAAATAAATTTTATAACCACTAGCAAGTATGAGAAAATATAAGGCATGCCTTGGTATTGTGCTGAAAAACCATTTATTTAAATGGTTATATTTAACCAAGTGTTGGGAAATATGGTCATAAAAATGCAAACTTATCCTGAGCCCTTGTTTAATCTGAATATTACACACACACACACACACACACACACGTCACCCCAAAGGCCCAGATGGCTTCCTTGCCAGAGTCAGTGAGTTGGAAAATCCAGAG